AGGGAAGTAAGGGAGAGGCCCACCTTCTCCTCCGCCGCACGCTGCTTGGCCGCCTCCGCCTCGGTCTTCTGCTGAGCCGCAGCCGCAGCCCTCGCCTCGGCAGCCTCCTTGCGAGCAGCTTCCTCCGCCGCCTTCTTGGACTCCGCCTCGACCCGCTTCTGCGCGTCTGCGGCCGCCCGCGCCTCCGCCGCCGCCGCCGCCTCCGCCTTCTTGCTCGCGGCGGCGGCGGACTTTGACTCGTCAGCGTCGCGCCGGGCAGCCTCGCGCGCCGCAGCCTGCGCCGCCTTCGTCTCCTCGGACGCCTGGCAGAACGAAGAGGCGCAGGGTCAAGCCGAGTGGGCAGGGGGAGGGGGGAGGGGTCGGTGCGTTGCAAGCACACCTGCCGCGCCGCCGCAGCCGCCTCCGCCCGGGCCTGCTCGGATGCCAGGCGAGCCGCCTTCTCCTCCGCACTCTTCTGCGCGCGCGCCTCGGCAGCGGCCGCCCTCGCCTCCGCCGCCTCCCGTGCCGCAGCCTCCTTCTTGGCCACCTCGGCCGCCCGCGCCTCTGCCGCTGCAGCAGCGCGCTGCTGCGACGGCGTCTGCGTCGCCTCCGCCGCCGCCTCGGCGCGCGCGGCTGCCTCTTGCGCCGCCGCCTCGAGCCGGGCACGCACCGCCGCCTCGTCCAGCGCCGCCGCGTCCGGCTTCGCGCCGCGCTTGACGCCGCCCGTCCGGGCAGGCGCAGAGGCGCGGCGGGCGGCGTCCGCCTCGGCGCGGGCCTTTGCCGCTTCCTCCCGCTTCGCCGCCGCAGCAGCGCGCTCCGCCGAGCGCGCCTCGTCCGCCGCCGCCCGGGCCGCCCGCTCCTCCGCCGCCCGGGCCGCCTTGGCCTCGTCAGACGCGCGGCGAGCCTCCCCCTCCGCCGCCTTCTTTGACTCCGCCTCGACCCGCTTCTGCGCGTCTGCGGCCGCCCGCGCCTCGGCAGCCTCCTGGCGAGCAGCTTCCTCCGCCGCCTTCTTGGACTCCGCCTCGACCCGCTTCTGCGCGTCTGCGGCCGCCCGCGCCTCCGCCGCCGCCGCCGCCTCCGCCTTCTTGCTCGCGGCGGCGGCGGACTTTGACTCGTCAGCGTCGCGCCGGGCAGCCTCGCGCGCCGCAGCCTGCGCCGCCTTCGTCTCCTCGGACGCCTGGCAGAACGGAGAGGCGCAGAGTCAAGCCGAATGGGCAGAGGGAGGGCGGAGGGGGCGGTGCGTTGCAAGCACACCTGCCGCGCCGCCGCAGCCGCCTCCGCCCGGGCCTGCTCGGATGCCAGGCGAGCTGCCTTCTCCTCCGCACTCTTCTGCGCGCGCACCTCGGCAGCGGCCGCCCTCGCCTCCGCCGCCTCCGCTGCCGCCGCCTCCTTCTTGGCGGTGGTGTCGACCGTCGTCGGCTTGACAACCACCGGCTCCGAACGCAACTTGAGGGACTCCTTCAGTGCGATCACCTCCTTGATCTCCTCGGCGCTGAGGGCGCTGACCACTGAGGGAGAGAGACTGCGCCGCGCAGCCTCAAACGCAGCCCGTTCACCCTTGGCGAGCGAAGCGGCCTCAGCCTTCGCTAGCGAGGCCGCCTCCTTTGCTGCTGCTGCGTCCTTTGCAGCCGACTCGCGTTGGGCTGCGGCGGCAGCGCGCTCCGCCGAGCGCGCCTCGTCCGCCGCCGCCCGGGCCGCCCGCTCCTCCGCCGCCCGGGCCGCCTTGGCCTCGTCAGACGCGCGGCGAGCCTCCCCCTCCGCCGCCTTCTTTGACTCCGCCTCGACCCGCTTCTGCGCGTCTGCGGCCGCCCGCGCCTCCGCCGCCGCCGCCGCCTCCGCCTTCTTGCTCGCGGCGGCGGCGGCCTTTGACTCGTCAGCGTCGCGCCGGGCAGCCTCGCGCGCCGCAGCCTGCGCCGCCTTCGTCTCCTCGGACGCCTGGCAGAACGGAGAGGCGCAGAGTCAAGCCGAGTGGGCAGAGGAAGGGAGAGTCGGTGCGTTGCAAGCACACCTGCCGCGCCGCCGCAGCCGCCTCCGCCCGGGCCTGCTCGGATGCCAGGCGAGCCGCCTTCTCCTCCGCACTCTTCTGCGCGCGCGCCTCGGCAGCGGCCGCCCTCGCCTCCGCCGCCTCCCGTGACGCAGCCTCCTTCTTGGCCACCTCGGCCGCCCGCGCCTCTGCCGCCGCAGCAGCGCGCCGCTGCGACGGCGTCTGCGTCGCCTCCGCCGCCGCCTCGGCGCGCGCGGCTGCCTCTTGCGCCGCCGCCTCGAGCCGGGCACGCACCGCCGCCTCGTCCAGCGCCGCCGCGTCCGGCTTCGCGCCGCGCTTGACGCCGCCCGTCCGGGCAGGCGCAGAGGCGCGGCGGGCGGCGTCCGCCTCGGCGCGGGCCTTTGCCGCTTCCTCCCGCTTCGCCGCCGCAGCAGCGCGCTCCGCCGAGCGCGCCTCGTCCGCCGCCGCCCGGGCCGCCCGCTCCTCCGCCGCCCGGGCCGCCTTGGCCTCGTCAGACGCGCGGCGAGCCTCCCCCTCCGCCGCCTTCTTTGACTCCGCCTCGACCCGCTTCTGCGCGTCTGCGGCCGCCCGCGCCTCGGCAGCCTCCTGGCGAGCAGCTTCCTCCGCCGCCTTCTTGGACTCCGCCTCGACCCGCTTCTGCGCGTCTGCGGCCGCCCGCGCCTCCGCCGCCGCCGCCGCCTCCGCCTTCTTGCTCGCGGCGGCGGCGGCCTTTGACTCGTCAGCGTCGCGCCGGGCAGCCTCGCGCGCCGCAGCCTGCGCCGCCTTCGTCTCCTCGGACGCCTGGCAGAACGAAGAGGCGCAGGGTCAAGCCGAGTGGGCAGAGGAAGGGAGAGGCGGTGCGTTGCAAGCACACCTGCCGCGCCGCCGCAGCCGCCTCCGCCCGGGCCTGCTCGGATGCCAGGCGAGCCGCCTTCTCCTCCACACTCTTCTGCGCGCGCGCCTCGGCAGCGGCCGCCCTCGCCTCCGCCGCCTCCCGTGACGCAGCCTCCTTCTTGGCCACCTCGGCCGCCCGCGCCTCTGCCGCCGCAGCAGCGCGCCGCTGCGACGGCGTCTGCGTCGCCTCCGCCGCCGCCTCGGCGCGCGCGGCTGCCTCTTGCGCCGCCGCCTCGAGCCGGGCACGCACCGCCGCCTCGTCCAGCGCCGCCGCGTCCGGCTTCGCGCCGCGCTTGACGCCGCCCGTCCGGGCAGGCGCAGAGGCGCGGCGGGCGGCGTCCGCCTCGGCACGGGCCTTTGCCGCTTCCTCCCGCTTCGCCGCCGCAGCAGCGCGCTCCGCCGAGCGCGCCTCGTCCGCCGCCGCCCGGGCCGCCCGCTCCTCCGCCGCCCGGGCCGCCTTGGCCTCGTCAGACGCGCGGCGAGCCTCCCCCTCCGCCGCCTTCTTTGACTCCGCCTCGACCCGCTTCTGCGCGTCTGCGGCCGCCCGCGCCTCGGCAGCCTCCTGGCGAGCAGCTTCCTCCGCCGCCTTCTTGGACTCCGCCTGCGCCCGCTTGACGGCCGCCTCCTCCGCCTTGGCCTCCGCTGCCTCGACCCGCTTCGCCTCCTTGGCCGCGTCCGCCTCTGCTTTTGCCTCTGCAGCCGCCTTCGCCGCCGCCTCCTGGGCACACGCACAAGCCGAGAGGGTGAGCGGGCAGAGAGGGGGTGCGTAGATGGGCGGGAGCGTGCTCCTTGGCCTCGGCGTCCGCCGCACGCTTCGCCTCGCGGAGCTGCGCTTTGATCTGCTCGACGGCGGCGAGGTCCTCGCGAGAGAGAGACTTGAGCGCCGAGGCGTCGGCGAGGAGCGGAGATGGGAAGGCAGAGAGAGCGGCGTCTGTCTGCGGCCTGGCGGCGAGGCTCGCGGCGCCGGGCACCTACGATCGAATCGCACGGTCGGCGGCGCGGGCGGATTGCACACGAGGCGGCCGCAGAGTCACAGCCTGCGGTGCGATGAAGCCCGGCGGCGCCATGTCGGCGAGCATGGGCGCTGCCCAGGCCGGAATCTCGGGACCCATGGAGAGCATCGCCGCGGCGAGTGCAACGGCGCTGTACGGCGTCTTGCGCGCCGCGCCAGAGGCGCCAGGCATCGGCAGCTTGCGCACCATCGGCACTTTGCTCACCCCGGAGATCACGCAGGAGAGTTCATTCGTTCCCAAACCAGGCTTCCACAGCGACAGGTGTGAACGTGCGCGAGCTTTCTCCTGCTCCCAGGATGACTCCCGAGGTCGAAAGACCCTAGATTGGCATCCATGCCTCTCTGGACAGGGTGGCCCGCCACGGCCCCTGGAATTGCGACTCGCCGCTTTCCTCCCGCTGTGATTCTGTGTGAAGAGAGTTTGTTGTCTGTGTGAAACACCCTCACTGTCGTCGTATGCGGGGTTCTTGTTTCTTATCACCCTATCTGTGAACTCTTTGCACTCCTGAGGGGGGCCTCTCTGGGCACGTTCTGCAGCTGCTTGCGTGCCCTCGCCAATCCTCGCCAATCCTCGCGCCATCTTCGCCACTGGCTTAGCCTCGATGATCGGCTTCAACGGCAGCCTGCTGTCGCTGATCCGTGCTAACCGGCGCGAGCGGCGGCGCGAGCGGCAGCGGCGCACGCGGCGGCGGGAGGTCGCCGCAGCAGTCTCGGTGGCTCCGGAGGAGCTCCCAGCCGGCGCCGTCAGCGCTGCGGCGTACTGGCGGCGGATCGGCGCGCCGCTCGGACTTAACGTGAGCGGCTCGGGCGGCGCGGCGGCTCTGGACCGGGCGACCAGCGCCAACCAGATGGGCGGCGAGGTGTGGAGGCAGGGAGAGCGGCTGGCGCAGCTGCAGGCGCAGATCAAGCGGGACGGGTTCGTGTCGCTCGCTCCGTCCGAGCTCTGCTGCGACGCGCGAGCGGTGGCAGCGCTGCGGCGGGGCGCGCTGCGCCTCACCGCGCTTGGCTGGCCGGCGACGATGCTTCTCCTGTTCGACGAGGAGCAGCTGCTGCTCGGCCGCACCTCGCGGCTGGTGCCTAGCCCTGACCCCAACCCAAGCCCAACCCCTAGGCGTGGCTCCTGCTCGCGCACGCCTCGCGGCTGATGCTCGCGCTCACAGGCTGCTCCCCCTCCTTCGACACCCTCGCGTGGTGCGTCGACCCGAGGGACGGCCAGGCCGGCTTCGCACCGCACCGCGACCGGCAGCCTGCCGACGTTGCAACGTCCTTCCGCGCGGACGGCTCGCCGCGGTACGCGACCCTCTGGCTAGCCCTCTCGGAGGCGACGCCGGAGAACTCGTGCATGCACCTCGTGCCGCGCCGGCACGACCCCGGGTACGACGCCGGAGACGACCACTCGCCGGAGGCGCACAGACACTTCCGAGACACTTCCTAGACACTTCCGGGACCACTCACCAGAGGCGGAGGCAGGTCCTGGGGTCCCGAGATGAGCCGAGGTGGACCCGAGAGTAGGCTTGGAGGACCCGCTGCAGCTCCTCCTCCGTAGACACTTCCTAGACACTTCTCAGACACGTCTAGGCCGAGGACCCGCTGCAGCTGCTCCTCTGTAGACACTTCTGAGACACTTCTCAGACACGTCTAGGCCGAGGACCCGCTGCAGCTGCTCCTCTGTAGACACTTCTGAGACACTTCTCAGACACGTCTAGGCCGAGGACCCGCTGCAGCTGCTCCTCTGTAGACACTTCCTAGACACTTCTCAGACACGTCTAGGCCGAGGACCCGCTGCAGCTGCTCCTCTGTAGACACTTCTGAGACACTTCTCAGACACGTCTAGGCCGAGGACCCGCTGCAGCTCCTCCTCCGCCGCGACGACGCCGTGCAGGCGATCCGCGCCTGCCCTCTGCCCCCGGGCGGAGGGCTCGTCTTCACGCACCGGGCGATGCACTGGGGGTCGAAGGGCTGCGACGACAACGGTGAGAGCAGCGGCGCGTCTCGAGATGGGCAGTATATCTCGGCTATGTCGGTGACACGTCCATGACCCGTCGGTGACACGTGCACGGCCTGCCCCCCTCCGCCGCAGGCAAGGGCCCCCGCGTCTCGATCTCCTTCGGCTGCTCCGACCCGGGCTGGGAGGCGAACCTTCCTAGAACCTTCCTGGAGCCCAGCACACCTCCTTGCCCCAGACTCCATCCCCACCCCGGAGGCGGTCCACTGATCGCATCTCGACATGACCCCCTACCAGGCGCCCTACCTCGCACGGCCTGGCGAGCTGCTGCCGCTGCCGCCCGTCGCCGCGCGCGCCGCCCTCGCCGCCGCGCAGCTCATCAACTACCACGAGCGCTTCGCCTTCTCGGCGAAGATGCTTCGGCTGCTCGGCCGCGTCTTCCGGGACGGGTCGCACCACCTCGCTGCAGAGTGCTCTGCCAGCTGTGCGGAGGAGGACGGGCGAGTGTTGCGGCGCGTGGATGACATGTCTGAGGCACGCCCTGTAGGTACGTCGGCAAGACTGCGGCAGAGTACCGCGATGCGTGCGAGGACCGGGCGGGGAGGGACGCGGCGGCGGAGGGGGAGGCGGAGGGCGGCAGGCGGGGGAGGAGCAGGCGGCCCCGCGGCGGCGGAAGCGAGGAGGGCGGCGGCGGCGCGGAGGAGGCGCGTTGGCGAGAGAGGCGCGAGGCGCGAAAAGAAGAGCCGTTCTTCACGCCTTCTCTCTCTCTCTGCGTGGTAGGCGGAGGAGGCGCTGGACGAGGCTCTGGACGCGATGCTGGACGCGCAGATGGCTGCAGAGGGCAACCTGTACGACGACTTCGACGAGGCCTTCTCGGAGGGGGGGGAGGAGGAGGAGGACGAGTCGGAGGGGGAGGAGGAGCCCTTCGACCTCGCCGCCGCACTCGCGGGCGGCGGAGCGGTCGAAGGAGTGGTGGAGGGGACGCGATTCGGTGCTGGGCCGGCGGTGCCCGTGGCGCGAGGGCGCCGCGCCTTTCGCGACGAGGAGGATGGGGTGGACCGTTGCGGCGAGTGCGGGTGGGAGCTGCTGGGGTGTCAGTGCGAGTTTTAGGTTTGGCCGAGCGTTTTTGATCTCTGGGTCAGTGGGCGCCCGCCCGCCGCCTCTGAGGGGGTCGGCCCCCCCCGAGACAGTAGACTGAAAACAAAATGTAGCACCGTCAAAAACAGCCTGCGAGAGCGGCGCTGCGCGCCGCCTACCTCGTGCGCGGGTCGTGAGAGTGACCCCCACGACAACGGCATCCAAAAACACATGGAAACCGTAGACCATAGCGCATAGGCGGATGGGCGCACGAACCCGCGCAGCGCCGGCTTTGAGCCACGCGCCTCGATCTTCAGAGGCGCGTGCGCTGCCCCTTCCGGCAAGGACGAAGACATCGAGGATGTCCATTGTTGCGCGATGGCGTTATCCGTTTTCCTAGTCCATTTTTCGTCAAGCCAGCTTCATCGTGACCGTCGCCACCCCTCGCCGCCGTCTCGCCTACGTCGCCGCCGCTATCAGGCCCATTCATGATGCAGGCCCAGCCCACACCCCTGGCTCCTATGCCGATGTGTCCCGTGCTCCCCCGTCCGCCGATGTCTCTGCTGCCGCCCGGCGGAGCACTGCAGCGGGCCCTCCTCGCCGCCTTCGCTGCCGCTGCATCGCTGTCAGCTCGTCATTTCTGTCTACGGTCATATGGGGGCGCCATCGCTGTTCTCTCTCTCCTGGGGTCAGCTCCAAGCTGCCGTGTCGGGACGTCGCCCCCTCGGCTCCCCCCCCCCCCCCCCCTCTCCGCTGAACTGCATGCTGCGATTCTCGCCCCTTGTCGCCGGAGCCAGGTGCGTGTGTCTAATCGTAGTGTGGGGCCCTGGCCCCCCTCTGTTTTCTGTTTTCTGTTTTTCACAACGCCCGCCCGCCCGCCACCCCGAGGCGGCTCGGCCCCCCACTGACCCAGAGATCAAAAACGCTCGGCCTTTGTTGTTACATGTTAGCGAGTGACAGCAAACTGTCTGCGACAAACACACGAAAATAGATCCAACGCTTGGCCGTCCGACTCCTATACTCATCGATCAAAGTCGGCGCACGAAACGTATTTGGGGAACGAGTTGATCGATCCCACAATGAAAAGATGAAACGAAACGGCAAACGGCACAAAAGCAGGTCGGAGTCAGCAGGCCAGCCAGCGGAGGTGAGGTGACCCGCGCCGGCATGCAGTTCGAAACTACTATGAGGTCCCCCGAAGTCGGTGAGCGCCCACCCTCCCACGCTCCGACACTGCGCGGCGGGGAGTGGAGAGGCGCGCAAGCCGATCACAGCGCCTTTGTTGTGCGCAGTTAAGAAGCTGTTTCCCCTCAACTCGCGTGCGGGCAACGAGGCCGCCTTAAAGGCTCTGCGGGGCGAGGAGAAGAACGGGGCGAGTGCGTTTGTTGACGAGGTGGTACGCATGACGCGTGGAGAGCGACACGAGGCCTTCCGGTCAATGTCCGTGCCGCAGCAAAAGTTTGCCGCAGCGCGCCTGAACAGGCGTGGGCAAGACATGTACAAGTTGATAGACGGGATCAATGCCAACCGGAGTGCGACGTCGGACGCAAACGAGCAGGTGGAGTATCTCAAGCAGGCGATGTCGGCGTCGCAGGCAGCGCACGAGGCGCGCGTTCCCCTTCCCCCAGACTGCGCCGTCTCTGCGTTGCGCCCATCCCCCTGTCCCGCTGATGCACCCCCTTCCACATCTCAGCTCATGCTCCTCGCGGAGATGGCCGCAAATTTCGCGGTGCTCACGGAGGAGAAGGAGAAGCTGCAGGCTGCTCACCCTCCACGCTGATGCATGCCACCTCTCCCCACGCACCACCTCTCCGCACCCGAACGGACACACAGGAAGCGCTCGACGCGCTCGACGAGAAGGCCGAGAACGACAAGGCGCGACTTGCCGCGAACTACGACAAGGCGCTCAAGGAGATCAAGCTCTACAAGGCCGACATCGAGCGGCTCGCGGCGGAGCGCGATGGGGCGCGCAAGGAGGCCCGCACGTTCAAGCTCGCCCTCGAGATGGCCGAGCTGAAGATCTCCACCGACGAGCTCTCGCTGGTGGTCGCGGAGGGCCAGACGGAGGCGGCGGAGCACAAGGCGGAGGTGGCGGAGCGCAAGGCGGTGATTGCGGAGATGAAGCTGGAACAGCTGGAGGCCGAAAACGCCGCGCTCCAGGCTGAGAATGAGCTCCTCAAGGCGGAGGCGGCGAACGCGAAGAAGAAGATCGCGCCAGGCCCGTTCCGCAGCGTGTTGGGCAACATCGCGGGCAACATCTCTGCCGTTTCATCGCTCGGCGGCATCGTGGGTATGGGCGCGCTCGGCTGAGCCCCCCCCCCCCCTGCCTTCCCCTCGAGGGCCGAGGGCCTAAGCTGAGAGCAAGCCCCGGACACGGTGATATCCAGTGTGGGGGCAGAGCTCTGAGAGCAGCGAGACTGCGAGAGAGAGAGACGGCGAGTCGCGAGAGCCGAGACGGAGCGCGTGCAGTGTGGCGGGTGCACAGTCCAACCCCACCGGGTGTGGGCGGGGGGGCATGTTACAGAATCGGCAGCACCAATACTATGCACTATCTATTCCTTTACAAGCTGGTCTCCCATGGCGCATATGGGTTGGCCCATGCTCTTATAAAACCTCACACGCGCACACGCACTCCCCGGGGAGGAGCGATCTCGAGCGGCTAGCCGAGAAACAGGCAACCGCCCTGTGCTACAGCCACTTACTGGCATCCACCTCCGGCGGTGGCTCCCACCAGACGCCGTCAGCGACGCGATCATACGCGAGACTATCGGCGTCAGGGGTCGCCTCGGACAGCAGCAGCCGCGCGACGCCATTGACATGCAGGCCGCCGAGGATCGCTACGACCGGCGCGTCCTTTTCGGCGGCGGCGCGGCGGATGGAGCGCGCGAGCTCCGCGTTCCGCTCCTCGAGGAAGGCGACGAGAAGCAGCCGCGCGACGAGCACCTGCAGCGAAGCGGTCAGGCGGCGTCTGAGCGGGCGGGACTGCGTGGCGGGACTGCGTCAGCTGCAGCAGTGGGGCGCGCGCAAAGTGGTGTGTGCTCCAGAGGGGCGTCTAAGCCGCGCGATCGGTTTATGATCGGCCCCCTGGCTCGGCCCGCGTCCCGACAGCCAGGAGCCCTTAAACGCATCAGCGAGGGGACGCGCAAGCCGGGGCGTGTGCGCCGTGTGTGCGCTGGCCAGCGATGTGTATCGCGCGCAAAGTGTGCGCGCGCTGCGGAGGGCTGCTTGGCCCCCGCGCGATCGCTTTGCGGACCACACGCAGGGCGTCCCGCGGCCACCCAGCCCGTCGGGCCCGCCCGAGCCGCCCCTTGGAGAGCCCTATGCGTGCGCGTGTGCTACTTGATGGGAGAGGCAGCTGCGCACCGACAGGCCGGTGGTCGCTGCGGAGAAGAGGAGGGCGGCGACGATGGGGAGGGAGACGACCTCTCCGGCGGCGACGGAGGAGGCGGTGGCGGCGTCGAGCTCTATGGCGGTCGACTCGAGCGCGTAGAGAAAGGCGGCGAGCGCTGCAAATGGCAGCGGCGCCTTGAGCGCAAAGGCGGCCGGGTAGCGGATGAGCGAGAAGAGGAAGCCGACGAGCATCTCGGGCTTGAGGAAGTCTTGGATGCCGATCGGCCTCTCGCCCTCGAGCAGCAGCTCCGAGCCCGCCACGTCCGCCGGGTTGAGCGTGCCAGGCAGCGTGCGGCCAAAGTCCTGTACGATCGCAGCCCAGCCGCCGGCGAACGGAGAGACGAGGTCTCGCACAGACTGCTGCGCCAGCTGCCGCACTCGAGGGAGGAAGGCGCCCGCGTCCGCGTCGCCCAGCATGATGGGCACGCCCTTCTGCAGCGCCACGCCGGCCGCGCCCTGCATCTCAGAGCAGACCAGGTTTGCGATCAGCGAGCCGGGCGGCGCCTTCTCGAGCGAGGTGGTCCAGCGGCTCGTGCACGACTCGACGACCACCGCGCCGAGCGAACGGTCGCGCTTGCTGGCGAGGGCCACCTCCTCCTTGGCGCGGGCGACCGAGGCGGGATTGTAGTGGACGGTGCCGACGAGAGAGACCTGCTGCCCTGTGGTCGCGTCGCGGAGCCGCAGCACCTGCGGGCTGCGCACGGAGAGCGAGGCCAGCAGGAGGTGGTGCATGTCGGTGGCTGGTTGGTCGGCGCGGGCTCCGAGCGGAGCAGCGCGTGTGCGAGGCCGGAGAGTGCCGAGAAGCACCGCCGCCAGGACAAAAGTCAGCCGAGCACCACAGCGCCGGCACGCTGGGAAAGTTAGGCGAAAGTGCGGCGCAAGGGAAAGAAGAATTTTGCGCCAAGAAATATTGAGCCGTGGCATGGCCATCCCTCCCTTGGGTTGTGTGTTTTCTTTCTTTTTTGGCATGGGGAAGGCAGCCTCGATTGCCATACAGACATGGGTGCGAAACAACGACAAGACCAAGGCACGGGCAGAGGAACGAGAGAAGAATATAGGGTGGATAAAGCGCCTGTTCACGGCATGGAGGGTGAGCCACACCGAACGTACCGAGCGAAGAGCCGAGCGGAAGGAGGACGGGGAAGATGACTCCGAGGAGGACGAACCAGTGGAAATCCAGTTGTCAGATGTCACGATGCATCCGAAGGGGACTCCTGGTCCTGCGCCGGCATCATCCGTAGAGGCACGAGTGTTCGAAGCGAGAGTGAACCTGAGCAACAACATGACCTGTAGGCAAATGATCGGAGTGGGAGTCAGAAATGTGGTCCTTGCGCGAGGGGAGCTCGATAGACTCGAGGGGCCAGGATACGCCGCGAGGAGGACGGAGTTGCGCCGAAAAGCGAAAGAAGCCGCGAGAACAAGGGACCGGCAGGCGGCGGCGTCGCAGGACGAGGCAGAAGAGAACAACGCGACAGAGGAGGAAGTGACAAGGGAGAGAACGACGAGGGTGGGACGACCGCGACCACCGTCGAGCGACATCGCTTTAGGCTAAGCAGGCACTCGTCGAGCTTCTGGTCTCCGAGGAGCAGGCGGCGGCGGCGGCGGCGGCGCAGGCCGCCGAAAAGGCGTTTCGCGACGGGCTCAGTGGCTTGATGGTCATGGAGCTCATGGAGCGTGCGCAGGCCGCTGGCGTTGACGAGGAGCAGATCAACCAGGCGCTCACCTCCACCCATCCCGGGCAGATGCTCATCGACTTGTTGGTGGTCGCGGTGTGCCGGCCGACCTCGCAGGCGCAGGCGCAGGCGCAGCCGACTCCCGCGGCGGCGGAGGAGGGGGAGGGGGAGGGGGAGGAGGAGGAGGACGAAGATTTCGTCTCCGCGGCTGGCTACACGCCGGCTGGCGGCGACTCGCGGCAGGCGCTCCGCCCACTCGGCGATTCGTCGAGCAACATCCTTCGCTCTGGCGGAATATCGGCCAACAAGGAGTCGCCCGGCACGACTTCACCGGTCTCCTTGTGTTCGCCGCCGTCCGGCTGCTTCTACCCCAACCCCGCCCTCGGCATCGCGCGGTGCACGGAAATCTTGGATGCCGAGCACGCCAAGGTTAGCGCACAGGCGGGCTTGCGCCGCTGAGAAGAATGCAGTGGGGCGCAGTGCGGGTGGGCTGTGGGTGGGTGGGGGCGGGGGCCGCGAGCAACCAAGGTTTGTGTGAGACCCTCTAATGCATTACCAATGTGCAGTGATGAGAGAGTCTCAGTACTCAGACGTCAGAGGGGAGAGCGGAGGTTAGTGAACAAGCGCGCTGCGCGTGGCCTTGTGGTGTGCGTCTGCCCTAGCACTTGCCCGTAGAGCTCAGAGGCCAGTTTGCCCTGGCCCGTCTGTTGCGGCGACTCTGGTGTCTGTCCTCAACCCGTGACTCTCTCGTCGCTAGAGAGAACTCTGAGACAGTCAGACGGTTGGACCGTTGAGATCCCTGAACCCTGACCCCGGGTGCTGCCGCCACACATATGCGCAAAACGAGAACGCAGCTCTTTATCTAAACTCTTTCGAACTAAGCGACTGCCGCTGGAGCAGCTCCGCCGCTATACGCGGCTCTGTCGCCGGATCGATGCGCTGGCGCGCGCTCTCGAGCGCGACCCGCAGCGCGTCGGCAAGGCTGAGCCGCTCCGAACACAGCAGCGCGGCGAGCAGGCCGGCCACAAAGGCGTCGCCCGCTCCATTCGCGTTGACCTCTCCCGCCACTGGGAGCGCGGGAAGGCGCACAGCCTCGCCCGGGCGCCAGCCGGCGGCAGCGGCTGCAAAGGCGCCGCCGCCCTGCCGGCGCGTCGCGCCCTCGCCGCCGAATGCGACGTACGCGCCCGCCCTGCCGAGCGTGATGGCGACGAGGCCGACGCCCGCCTCCAGCAGAGGCGCGACGAGCGCCTCCAGCTCGCCGTCGGTGGCCGCCTCTTCGTCCAGCGAGCCGGCAGCTCTCCCGGAGATGTGGCACGCCTCCTCGAAGTTGGCGTGCAGCAAGTCGACCTTCCCGAGGGCCGGGCCGAGCACGCCGTCCGCGTCGGCGGCGGCGCCGAGCGTCGCGCCGTTGACGTCGAGTGAGACGATCGGCGCCTCGCCGCTCGCCGCCTCGACCGCCTCTGCGGCTGCCTCGAGCAGCTGCAGCAGCGCTGGGCCCTGCAGCCCGCGGAGCAAATGCGGGTAGCCAACGTGCAGCGCACGCACGCACGCCAGCCTCGCCGCGGCTCCCGGCGCGCGCATTGCCCCCAGCACCACGTCTGGCGTGAGGAGGTTGTTTGCGCTCAAGTCGACCCAGCAGCCTCGCCCTCCGCCCTCAAAGACGGGCAGCACCTGGAGGAAAGGTCAGCGAAGGTTCAGAGAAGGTGCAGAGAAACCACCCGGCCGCGGAGAGGCAAACGGCACCGCGAGCGAAGTCGAGACGTCGCTTCTCCGGACGAGCAGCGACGTGTCCACCCCCTCGCCCGCCAGCTGCCTCGCAAGCTCGTCCCCGTGCAAGTCCGACCCCAAGACAGAGAGCACGCTCGCGCCGCACCCGAGCGCGCGGAGAGCGGTCGCGGTGTTTGGCGCCGATCCGCCCGCCTGCACCACGCAGCCCGCGAAGGGGGCGATCGCCTCGCGACTCGACGGCTCGCTCGCCTAAGTGATCATCCACCAGTGACTAATCGCTCATCCATCCTCACTCGTCGCGGCTTCACGGCTCCCCTCGCCTGCAGCAGCTGCTGGTCGAGGCAAGCCAGGCCCGCGCAGAGCACCGACCCTACCAGCACGCCGCCTCCCCCGCCGCCTCCCCCGCCTCCGCCCCCGCCTCCCCCTCCGCCTTGCCCGAGGGCGGCCGGCTCGCTTGGCAGCGCCTCGAGCAGCGAGCGCAGCGCCGCACTTTGGTGGAAGAAGCCAGGGTCGACGCCCGCAGCGCCGCCCTCGTTCACCTTGAAGAGGTAGGCGAGCGCCTTCGCCACGCCTCCCGCCTCGGCGCCGCGCGAGCTGAAGTAGTCGCAGAAGACCGCAACGTCGATCATCAGCGGCACGCAGAGCGCCTGGCGGACGTGTCGTGGACGCGTCACGGACAGGCGCATGGCCGTCGGTGATCAGCGGCACCCGGAGGCGCCGAGTCCATGCAGCGCGTGTAGGTGAGCATGGTGTGCTCGCAGCCCATGAATGCGTCGGACGTGTACTCCACCGTGTCGCGCTTCTCGTCGCCCATCTGCTCCGTGTACAGCACCGCGACCTTGTGGTCGATCGGAGCGTCGTCCGCCCACGCGCCAAACACGTCCGTCTTGACGCGCGCCTTTGGGGGAGGAGCAGGAGGGGGAGGATGTGAGGGAGGGGACAGGGGCAGAGGAAGAGGGGGGCGGCGATGCAGAGGGGAGGGGTGTGTACACGCCTTTGCAGACCATGTGCGCGGCGAGAGCAGGTTCTTCATGTCGTTGTTGCCAAGGTGGTTGTACGAGGCGATGGTGCGCGGCTGCAGGCCGAGCGCGCGCAGGTACTCGACGATCGCCGTCTTCGCCTAGAGAAAGGTCAGAGAACGGTCCAGGAAAGGTCCAGCGGAGGGACTAGGACGGTCTCCCCCCTCCGCCTTTGTCTGCCCTAACCCTAACCCTAACCCTAACCCTAACCCTAACCCTAACCCTAACCCTAACCCTAACCGCCTCCGCCTTTGTCTGCCCAGCCTTGAAGTCGGTGCCGAGCATGTAGAGAGGCGGTCCCTCGCCCCTCGTCCCCTCGCCCCTCGCCGCCAGCTCGAGCAGCGCGGGCTGGACGGTGTTCTGCGACCCCCCGTTGACGAAGCTGCACCCCTCGAGGGCGGCCGCACACGCGTAGACGAGCGACGGAGACACGGCGGGCCTGAGGGACATGTCCTGGACGTGTCCTGGACACGCGCATGTGAGCCGAGCGACGGCAGCACGGCTGACTTGTCGTCGCGCGCGATGGCGTCGAGCAGCGCGTCGGCGCTGCTGTACTCGTCGCACGGCCGCTCCACCGACGCCGACCAGACCACCGTCGTGTGGCCGCCTGCAGGGAAGGTTCCGAGAAGGTTCAGCGCAGGTTCAGAGCAGAGACCAGGCCAGCTCTGCTGCGGCCGCCTCCCTCGCCTCCGAGCCCGTGCTGCGCCTGGAAGGCGCGGATGTCGGCGCGGAGCCGCTCGAGCTGCTCCGAGCGCGTCGCCTCGCGGGCGACGAAGGTTGCGCCCTCGCGCTGCGACTCGCCGTAAAAGTCTGCGTCCCAGACGCCGCGCATCACCTCGACCTCGTCCATCTCGCCGCGCACCTGCCGCACGAGGTCGTAGTCGAGGATGCGAGAGCGGTAGAGCGCCTCGCCGAGCGGCGTCGGCACCACGTCCCAACCGCCCACGGCGAGGTCGGAGAAGGAGGAGAAGTCAAACTCGCGGCTGAGAGCGCCGACCTGCGTGATGCAGCCGAGGCAGTTGGCCCTGCGCGGCCCGTCCCGGCTCGACTCCCACGAAAGCTCGCGCTGGTTGGCGATCTGCCCGGCGAGCAGCGTCACGCCGTTGTTGCCGGCCAGCCCGACCACGAGGAGGCCGGCTCGGCGGCCGGCGGCGGCGGAGCAGCGAGGAGATACGTGGCGAGGTGGAGGCCTGCTGGCGCTGGGACGCAGCGTGGCGCCGAGCCGCGGCGAGTAGGCTGCGGCTGCGAGGAGGAGGAGGAGCGACGGCATCGGTTTGCTCGGTGTAGCGGTGAAGCCAGTTGGGTGAAGCCTTGGCGCGGATACAGTGGGTTGCGGGCATTAAGAAAACGTCGCAAAGAAACGCTACCAAGAGATTTCCGCAAAAATCTAAGAAACCACCGCGCGCCGCAGGCGCGGCCCCGAGAAAAGGCCAGCCAGACACGAGTCTCGAGTGTGAACGGGAGCGGCCCCAGCTCAAAATTTCTCTTCGCCTGCGGCGCGCGCACTTGTCACTTTCCAAGTCTACGGTGTTCTGAGTGGAGTGGAGATGGAGGCGTGTGTGCGTCTTCCCGTCATCCAGAGAGCCGACTTGGCGGCAGACTCTCTGGCATCGCCCTCGCGGACCGCAGCTAGCAGCTTACCTCTTACCTAAAATCCTTAGGGGGCCGGCTCTGGCCGGATTCCTCCTCCGAACAACTCAAGTTCGATCGGCCCCAGTCTCGAACTGGCAGCCACTATCTCACCGGAGGTACCATGTCCGAGGAGGCCACCGGCCAAAAGCGCATGTCTTGAAGGTCCGATAAAGAAAGAAAGAAAGAAAACACACAACCCAAGGGAGGGATGGGAGAACGGCACGCCGCCACCACACAGGGATTTTAAGGAGAGGAGTGTGGTGCGCTAGCCGTCGCCCACCCTGGGGAGTCTGCCTCTTCGTATCTCTTTGAAGGTCCGATACTGGAAGCCCATATAGCGTCTCTTTTTCTTTTCGCAGTCCGCGCCAGTCCGCGCCCTTGTCGTGTCATCGGCTAGAATTCTTTTCGCGTCTCGACGGCATGATGTGGCACTGGGTTTTCGCGGCAGCGCTCGCCGCGCTCTCGCCGCAGGAGGAGCGGCAGGCGATCGGCGCGGTCCGCCGCCCGATGTGCGAGGCTATCGTCGATGAGATGCACATCGAGATTGCAAAGCACACCCTGCGCAAGGACGGCGAGGACGACGTCTGGGAGACGGTGCCCGCCATCTGCCTCGCCATCGTGCAGAACTACACGCTGGTGCGCACGGCGCCGCCGAGCCGCGGCTGGCTGCTGGACAAGCGCGCTGTGCGGCTCGACGACCTCGAGCCCGGCGACACCTCGCCCGCCGACTTTGAGCACCTCTTGCTGCTCAAAAAGGCGTGCGAGCACTACACCGAGGAGTGGCAGCACGAGCTGTCGGGCGCAATGTACACGCGCACCGCCGCAGGGCTCTCCGCAAACAAGATCGCGTCCGACCTCTGCGATGACGTCGCGCCGCCCGTCCGCCCAAAGCGCAAGGCGCGCGCAAGCGGCGGCGGCGGCGGCGGCGGCAAGGCGAAGAAGGGGAGCGGCAAGGGCAGCAGCAAGGGAGGCAAGAAGGGGAGTAGCCCTGGCGGGGAGGGGGAGGGAGTGCCGAGCATGGACGAGCTGCTCCAGAAGTACGACACGGACGGCACCATCACCCGCCTGATGGAGCTTGAGCGAGAGTCGCCAGAGGCGCGCCGCTGCAGACCACCTCTGCCGAGACACTCTCCAGCACACACGCGCACGTACCGGCTGTCTGGCTTGGGCGGGTCCGAGGGACTGCACGGCCTCGGACGGCTACTGCTCATCGCCCGCGCGTCAAAGCGCCCCTCGAGAGCCGTGCTCCACTCTTGCGTGCGACGAGCCACTAGGCACCGCACACAGCGCCTCTGGCCCCTCTCCCAGCCACTCTCCCACCTCCCCACTCTCTCCCACACGCGCGCACCCGCCACCCTCCCGCCACCCTCCCGCAGGCGATGCTCGAGCCCGCGCAGCTGGAGGAGGCGACTGCCGGCGCAGAGCACCTCCGGTGCGGCGTCTGCCGCGCCATGTGCAAGCAAGCCCTCGTCGAGGCGAGAGCGGCAAAGGCGCCGCCAGCGCCAGAGAGAGAGGAGGGCTGCCCCTCCGCCGCAGCCAGGTCTGACCCGCACTCCTCCTCGCCCGCCTCGCCCCCCCAGGCGCTGCGCGACGAGGAGTCCCTCTCCGCCATCACCGCCTCTCTCTGCGTCGGGGTGCCGACCGGGTACGACGACCCCGAGAACCAGCCAAAGTACCCCGGCAACCCGCCCCTGTGGGGGGAGAGGTACCGAGTCCGGAAGAGGAGGGGGGCGGGCGGCGAGGAGCGGTGGCGGCTCGAGCCCCTGCCCAAGAAGGCCGCGCCGGAGGAGCAGTCGGGCGCAGAGTACGACTCGCTCGTGATGAAGCACGCGATGATCACGCGAGCCTGCCGCGCCGTCGAGTCGGACGTCGACGGCGACGACCTCGCGGAGACCATCTACTCGCTGGCCGCCTCGCTGGCCGCCTCGCAGCCCGGCAAGAAGCTCGGCGCGGCGGCGCTCGGCGACGCCTTTTGTGCGCGCCACTGCGAGGCGGAGAGCGGCGGGGAGGGTAAGGCCGCGACAGACAGGGACGAGCTGTGATATTCAGAAGAACACCATTGAGTGGAGTGGGTCGTCAGGGTCGAGTGCGACTGATATGAGCGGCGGTGTTGGTATGATCGGATGTTTCTCAGTAAATGCTAAATCCGCACGCAGTCGACGTCTCTCCGTGGACCGTGCGTCTCGGTCTTGACTTTTGCCCCCCCGCGCCCCCCCTTCTGCTTATCTCCGTTCTCGCGCCCTGCAGCCTGCACGTACCCTAGCACGTACCGTCTTGCCGCGATTCATCTAAGAGGCCAGAAACGTTCATTCCAGACGCTGTCCCTGTGGCCAAACTCGTAAGAGGTGCCGGGCAGTCGCTCCAGCCGCCTCCCTCGAGGTACAGTAGCGTCAGTAGGTATGGTCCGGTCGCACCAAGATGCGATGCCCGCATCAAGAGGCGGCAACTGCCAACGGTACGCTCAGGGGCGTGCCCCCCCCCCCCCCCTCCCCCCCAAGCGTCAACCGCCTGCGCAGGGAGAGAAGCGACAGAGCGAGAGGGGAGAGTTTGCGCATCCTGTGCTTCCTGGATCCTGCGCACCTGTCCGCATTTACAATGTGCGATGCGGCGTTTCATAGCTCGTTCACTGCTTCGCTGATCGCTGCTCTCTCTGTTTGTTGATCCATTTAAAAACAACACGTCAAAAATGGGAGCAAGTGAGCGACGCACAAGTCACATAACCGTGCGGTAGAATCGGAGGTCAGGGAGCGCACAAAACGGACTAAGAGACCGGCGAGACAAGACAATGATACACGATGGAACACGGGAGGATGGGGCGCAGGGTCCCACTGTACAATCGGGTGAGCGGGTGTGTCCTCTCCACGAATATGCCAGGCGGCGAGCCTCACGCGAGGTGGAGCCGCGTGCCCGGCAGGATGACCCGGACGCTGTCGCTAGCCTTTGCGCGCAGCTTCCCGGCGGCGGGCGAGAGGCGGGCGAGGCCGGAGCGGGAGAAGCAGAGGGCGATCAGGGCGTGCGTGTGCGGTCCGAGCCCGAGCGGCCCAGCGAGGCGGCTGAGCAGCCGCGCCGCTAAGATGACCGGGATCTGAAGCGCCGACGCGAGCCGCGGAGTGCAGGTGCAGGCGAGGACGAGGGCGGCGAGTTCAGAGCGGCGGGAAACTTCGTCGGCGGACCTCCGCGGCGGCTTGGACCTCCGCGGCCACCTGAGGGGGGAATTTTTGCTTGGTGAGCGCAGGGATGAGGAGCGAAAACACCAGAGCCAGCCGCACCGGCCGTGCTGCGCAGACTGGAGGAGGCGCGCTCGAGCAGGGTCGACGAGCCGGATCGCCTGGCGAAGCGGGTGTGTGCTCTGCCAGTCGAGGGCGGAGGTAGACGCGAGGGCGAAGAGGAGGAAGAGACAGCGCATCAGTAAACGGCTAAGTGGACGACTGAATCCAGCACCGCATCGACCCGAAACATCTTTCGAAGAAAAGAATTCTTAGGATTCAAGCCTCTCTCACAGCCTGCCCAGCCCCCCTCCGTGTCGCGATGCGCTCCCCGCTCCCGTTCCCCTGTGTCCCTGATCGTCCTACAAGATCCTGCTTGTGCAGGTGGGGACCCTGTCCTTCTCCCACCCCTCGTTTGGCGTGTCCGTTGTATTTATTTATTTATTAGCACAAGCAGATATGTCGGAATTGTCGGAGAATAGCGACTAGCACACCTCTGAGTCCCAGAAACCCGAGGAGTCACACAGTCCACCTGTGTGATGCACGCCCTGCGAGCGGGGCGGGGTGCGCACTGTCCCTCTGTGTTCGTGTGCGTCGCCCATCTCTCCCTGGAGATGACTGCTCTATTTATTTATTTTATTAGCACAAGAAGAAAAGAATTCAACCAAGTTCGACACAGGTACCAAAAGAGGCACAGCCTGCGACGGACCTTTAGAAGGCGCCGTCGTCCTCATGGAGGTGGGCACGATCGGGGGGACAGTCGAATCCGCGAGCACCGTAGTGCTCGCCGAAAAGACCATCCCCATCATCCCAACCCCCCGGCGACCCCCTCGCCGCTTGCCCCGCCAGCGGGCACTGCGCGACCCACCCCCGCGCCCTCGACCGCGCCCCCCGCCAGGAGCATATCGCATCACCACCGCCCGATCCTCGTCGAAGAGCAGAATCTTTCCCGCCTTCACCAGCTCCTTCCACCCCTCCGTGTCCTGCAACGTCGTGGCGCCAGCCCATAGCTCCGGCCCTCCGTCGCAACATCCCGGCCCCTGTTCCGGCATAGCGTCCAAAGCCGCCCTAAACCTAGGGCAGCGCGCCGCGTCCCATGCCGCCTTCTCAGCCGCCTGGATAGCCGCCCACTGGGCAACCGAGTAGTGGGAGGGGCGAGATTGGCGAGCAGTGGGCCCCGTCGGCCGAGAAGAGTCCGGCGGAGCTTCTCCGCCTGAAGCTCGTGGAGTCCGAGCGAGGCAATGCCCTAATGATGCGCGGCATGCACACGGCGCTGGTACACTGATGCATCGTAGCTCAGTCTACTTGAAGTCCTGTGTGCTGTGAAGTTGGATTTTGCCCCCCTCGCGAATCGTGTAGAGCGCGACTCTCGAGGCGAAGAGCGTGCGGGTTATCTCTGGCGCCCCCATCTCGACACTGGACAACCGGTCGCTTCGCCAGCGGGCTTGGAAGCCGAGGTCCGGCGCTGCGTCGACAATCTTGTGGATAAGGTCGTAATACGCATGGCTGCAATTTTACAGGATCCTTGCCACTCCGCCCTCCCAGCACGCGCCATTTTGGCTGCCTTCCAGCGCCAGTGCAGCCATCCTCCGGCCGATGGTTGCGATGGCTGTGTCCCAGCCATCCGCCCGGCCGCAAGATGGCTGCCATACTACATACAGCCGTCGCAGCCATCGGCCGGAGGATGGCTGAGCTTATATGCAATTTGCTAGATCCTGACCAAGCGTTCCAACGCGATGGCTGAGAGATAACGACGCCAGCCATCCAGAACAAGGGTGTGGTTGCTCGCGGAGCGAGAGTGGAGCCACCTGGGCTCGTGTCGGGGCGGCGAGAAGGTGGGTCGAATTCGCGACAGCCATCCTCCGGCCGATGGCTGCGACGGCTGTATGACAGCCATCATGCGGCCGGAGAGAGAGAGAGAGAGATCTCTCTCTCATGCGGCCGGGCCGCGCGCGGGATAAGGTTTTTGCTCGCCTTCCCTGGGTCCCCGTCGTGTTGCATCGACCCCCAGGGAAGGCTTGAGCAGCTTCTATCGGCGACAATGGTGGCGACGCCGGCGATGGTCGCCTTGTTCGTCCCCTTAATCGTGCAGCCGAATACAGTCGTCGTGCAGCGGAGCCCGGTCGCTCCCGCGGAGGTCCTCTCCTCCGCCTCTGCAGCGCCGGCCTCTGTGGCGCCGGTCTTTCCTTCCGGCCGCATCGACTCTCCTGCTGTGTCAAAAGCGGAGCTGCCCGCTGCCCGCCTGGCCTCTGCGCTGCGGAGCTCGCAGCAGGCACTGCGGCAGCAGCAGGAGGCCGCCGCCACCGCGCTGCGGCAGCAGCAGGAGGCCGCCACGACTGCGCTCCGGGAGCAGCAGCAGACGGCCGGCGCCGCGCTCGCGGCGTCGCGGATCGAGCTCGAGAAAAGTCTCAAGGAGGCGCCACCGGCGCTGGAGCGGTCGATCCGGGAGGAGGTTGCGCCCGCCGTCGAGCGCTCCCTCAAGGACGCGGCGCCAGCGCTCGAGCGCGGCCTCAGGCAGGACGTGGCGCCTCTGTTCTCGAGAGCGGCGGCCGAGCTTCCACCGGCGATCGGGCAGGCGGTGAGCGAGGCGCGGCCCTGCAGGCGAGGGAGAGCTGCTGCGGGGCGGAGCCTCCTCTCCACCCTCTCGCGGCCACCTCCTCTAGGCCTCGCCGCAGGTCGCAAAGGGCCTCGCCGCAGCCGGCGGGACACTCTGGACCTCGGCGCAGCCGGCGGCGAGCGGTGTGGCTGCGGCGGCGAGGCAGGCGGCCGACTCTCCGAGCCGCTCTGCCTAGCCGTCTCTGGAGCCGTCGCTCAGCCCTCTCTGAGCCCCGCAGGCCGCAGAGTCGGGCGCCGCGCAGGCCAACGGCGCGCTGCAGCGGGCGGTCGCGCCGCTCGCGGAGAGCGAGGGCGGGAAGGCGGTGGCGGGGCAGGTGGCGCGGCTGCTGGTAGTAGAGCGAGGGCGGGGAGGCGGTGGCGGGGAGGTTGGGGAGGCGGTGGCGGGGCAGGTGGCGCGGCTAGTCGCGGGTGGCCCTCTCCGCTTGTACTCGTCATCGACGCCCGTCTCGCCCAACAACGGTGCTGTCCCCGCCTGTGGCCGCGCTCGTTGGGAGCGTGTACGTGTCCATGTCTATCTCGTCTCTCTACGCCCGGCTCGACGTACTCCTAGGCTGTGGCCGGACGGTCTGCTGCTGGCAGCTCTCCTCGAGGTGGCTCGGCATCTTGACTAGCCAGAAGGACGACATCACCCCTCGGCTGGGCCTTTCTCGCGCACTACAATTTGGCTTCTCCGGG